AGCAAGCCAGGAGGAGCAAGCCAATAAGTGGCTCCCCTCCATAGCCTGCTTCAGCTCCCGCCTCCACGTTCTTGCCTTGAATTCCTGCCCTCATTTCCCTCGGTGAAGGCTGTGACCCGAGAGTTGTAAAGGAAAAAACCTCCCACCTTGCTTTTCGTCTCGGCGCTTTATCACAGCTGCAGAAACCCCGATTAAGACAGGCATTGGTGGCCCACGCCTTTCATCCCAGCACCAGGGAGGCAGAGGCAGGCGGATCTCTGTGAGTTCGAGACCAAGCTGGTCTACAAAGCGAGTTCCAGGGCAGCTTCCAAAACAATACAGAGACACCCTGTCTCGAAAAAAAAAAAAAAAAACTTGAAATTTTATGCTCAGATTCACGGGACAGAAGCTTTCCGGAACACGAAAGTCTTTGGGGGGGAGAAAAGAGGGATGGGTTATCCTTAAAGAGCTAAGCACCTTTGCACTCGGAGGGGGGGGGGGAAGTGGCTATAGGCGTCGTTTTACATCTTTTAAAAACGCACTTATTCTGCACGCAGCGTCCTGCCTGCACGCGTGCGGGGCGCCAGCAGAGGGCACAAGGGAGCCGAGCAAAGCGCAGCCGGCGCTCGGCACTGAGCCATCCATCCCCGCAGCCCCGCGGCGTCGGCCTGGAGGTTTGTCACAGAGGTCAGAACATCAGAAGATCAGCCGGCAAACGCCACGACGTGGTGAGGCACCGCAACACACACAAAAAGACTCCAAAACGAGGAGGAAAAAAACCGCTTCCCCGGAAGAGCGAAGACGAGACGGCCACCACGCCCGCGACGGAAGTGGTCATCAAATTAATCTGCACAAAACAAGCAGTCTGAGACCCCTGGCCCGCGATCGGCTACGTAAACCGGGCCTGACGTCACTCCGCACGCGTGAAAAAGGCTCGCCCGGGGAGCACGAGGCCCACGGCGCGCCCGCAACCCACAGTCCTAACCGGACGTCGCCCGGAGGGCCTCGGCCCCGCCCCTTCGGGCGCTCCCGGAAGTCCCGCCCAGCCTTGCTCGGTCGGCGGGAGGTTTGCAGCGAGCAAGCCTGGGGACCGGGATGGGGAGCGGGGTGGTGAGAGCGAACGTGCGCCCTGGTGTAGACTCAGACAAGCATTTTGCTCCAAGCCGCGTCATTTTGAACACTCAATAAAAGCTATACCTTGTTTCTGGAAATAAAGTACGCATTCATAGAGCGTGCTGTATTCAATCTGGGGAGATTTGAGGCTCTCTGCTCTCGGGGTTATAGGTGCAAAGAGTTCCCTGACTTAGGAAAATAAAAGGAATGATAACTTAAAAAAGAACCAGACGTTTGAGGCTTTTATGTTGCAGACAGAGCAGAACTACTGAGGATAGGAAAAGAGTCTGGAATGAATGCTTGTGGAAACCAATCACTCTGAAAATGCGGATTGTTTGGAGAACAGAAGGGCGTTCTGAGACATTCTCAGACGCGCACCTCCCAGACATTTTGGATTTTTATTTTTTCAAAAGTTTTAGTTTTATCTTCTGTGCATGCGTGTTTTGCCTGCGTAAATGTGTCTGCACCACATGCATTCATAGAACCCCACAGAGACCGAGGGGCATGGGATCTTCAGGGACTGGAGTTCTAGGTGGTTGTGAGCCACCATGTAAGCTTAGGGATTTGAACTCAAGTCCTCTGGAAGGGCAGCCAGCGCACTTAACCACTGAGCCATCTTTCTAGCTCCCAAAGTGTTTCTGCGTATCCTCTTCAGTGAGCTCTTTTGCATTTAAATCGTGCAAACTCCCGCTGAAAACTAAGACACAAACGTGCACATCGGCCTGGCTCTGTCCTTCAGAGGTCATCACCTGCAGGTCTGAGTCAGAATCATAATCACTGTGGCCACCTACACATCCTGTCCCGCTGAAAGGGTGACAATACGCACGCATGCACGGGGTTGCTATGACAACAAGGCTGTCCTCTGGATGTTCCTGCTGAGGGCCTGCCCGCAGCTGTTGCCCTTTTACGGCAATAGCGCGTTTTCCGAAGTCACAGCAGCCAGGGCACTAGTCCGTCGGTCACTGCTGGCGTCGGCACTGCCTCATCACCGGGCTTCGTCGGGGAGGGGGCTTCTGGCCCCAACACACGTGAGCAACGCTCAGATGGTTTGGAGTGTGATGAAATTCGGCACTAGGAACGTTTCCACTGTGGTGTTCACAGTCCGTGGCTGGCTGACCGCTGCACGATGCAGAACTGCAGCGAGGGTTAGCGGAGGGTGCTCCTGCCTCTCTCCAAAAGGTCACAGGCAGATGCGTCTATCTCAAGTGCAACAGTGGGCAAGGAAAGGTATAGCCACACACACACACACACACACACACACACACGCACGCACGCACGCACGCACGCACGCACACACACACCTCCTCCCGGAGCCATCTGAGTAATTCAGACAATCAAATAGTTAGCTTGATCTCGTCTGGCAGAATGCCTCAGGTAATCCCACCCTGATCCAACTCCCAGGTGGATACTGTATACAGAAGTGTACAATAAATGTTTGGGTCACTATTGCTATGATAAAACATCATTACAGGGGAGGAAAGGGTTTATTTCACCTTACACCTCCATATTGCTGTTCATCATCAAAGGAAGTCAGGGCAGGAACTCAAGCAGGCTAGGAACCTAGAGGCAGGAGCTGATGCAGAGGCCATTGAGGGTACTGGGCACTGGCTTGCTCTCCATGGCTTGTGCAGCCTGCTTGCGTATAGAACCCAGGACCACCAGCCCAGGGATGGCACCACCCACAAGGCACTGGGCCCTCCCGCATTGATTGCTAAGAAAACATGCTACAGCTGGATCTCATGGAGGCATTTCTCAATTGATGGTCCCTCCTTTCAGACAACCCTAGCTTGTGTCAAGCTGACACAAAACTAGCCAGCGCAATAGGTCTCTTCACCACCTACTATGTGCCAGCCATGACTTGGGAGATGTAAACTGAGATCAGACATGGACCCTTGCCTCGGAGAACTAACAATCTAACGAGCAGTACAGACACATCAAAAATGCTTCATGCTCCTCCCCCTGCCTCTGTGAAAACTCTACGTTGAGAACCATATGCTCATCCTGCACTTGTAAAGCGCTTGCTGTATATCCGGAAGAAACATCGGCATAAAAGGTTCCATCACCCACGACTCTCACGCAGACTGGAGGCAGGAGAAGGGTGATAACAGAGGAGTACATGCACTTAACGTCCATGCCTGATAAGCGCCGTGACAAGGATGCTTGGGGTATTCTGAAAGAGTGTGCTGCAGACTGGGGTGCAGAAGGGGGATAAGCCCTGGCCCCAGTGCTGATCCCCAAACCCTGGCCAGCGGTCCTGTGACCTGAGGTGAAGCACAGCGCCCATCCGTTTCTGAAATGACACTGGCTGTAAGGACCAGTCAGAAGTTCTTACGGGAACTCAGTGACAGACAGCTCCCTGTCCCGGGCAGCGGTCACGGTGGCCTTCCTGGAAGAAGAGATGAATTTCTGAAACTCCTCTTGCAGCTTTTGTTGGTCAGGACCGTTTCCCTCCTGCTCGTGACTACTTCTGCCCTGATGTGCCTGATCTGAAGCCTGGACACTTGGTGAGAGTCCAGCAGATGTGCCTGGCCCCAGCAGGGACCAGAATGGCCTCTTGTCAGCTGCATAGGTCCCAGCTCAGAACTAGAGAAAGAGCCGGCTCCTGGAATGTCTTCCTCCTTCCTGTCCAGACCCTCCCCTCCCCAGCCAAATTCCAGCCAGGACGGGAGAGCCAGCTTAGGGGCGTGCTGCTGTTTGTTTCAGCAGAGGAACCATGGCTGCGCTTGAGCTGGACAACATGATAGAACATGCTAGAAAAACTGCAGCCTCTGTGGGGTTGCGAACACTTTTCTCAGGAACAGAAAAATGCAGGTCTATTCGGAAACCTATAAAAAATATTTGTTAGTTTTTCTTTTGACTACAGTGAAGAGACCTTTTAACAAATGCTTCTACTTTTAGGTTAGCGCCTCTGGGTCTCGCGATGTTGATTTAATACAATGCGCATTACCAGTCCGAAAGTAGCAGGAGTGACCTCACGGTACAATGGCCGCTTGTCTGACTCCAGGAAGGGGCCTTTAATCCCAGCACTCACGAGGCAGAGCAGGCGGATCTCTGTGAGTTCCAGGCCGGGCTGGACCGACAGCCTCCAAAACAATACAGAGAAACTCTGTCTCGTAAAAACCAAAAAAAAAAAAAAAAAAAAAAAAAGTATCTGCCCAAATTTCAGATTGAGATATTAAAATGTGAAATATTAGTATTATTAAATAAATATTAGTAACTATTAAAGGCCCCTTTACTTTCTAGTACTCGAAAGTCTCCATCACAAACAGAAATCAGTCATCGGGTCATACAGCCCCAGCTCCAGCTTAGCGGGCGCAGGCTCAGATGCAGAGGGACTCCATCTCCGTCCTGGGCATCCAACCCTCGCACTCCCGCCACCACCAGCCGCTCATCAGACACTTCCGTTTGCTGCTCCTGAGTTTAAGCAGAAATGGCGGCAAGTGCCACTAGTCCCTTTAGCAGCCTGGGTGCAGAGGACCGCCTCTGGATCACAGTTGAGATGGGACAAGGCAGGACAGTACTGGGGAGGCCGGCAAGGACGCCGGCTGCAGCTGCTGGCCATTCAAGAGCAAGTTTGTTCACCACCTCAGGTTTTCCTTTTCTTTGCAGAGAACCTGGAAGAAGAAATCAGTAGTTGTCCCCTGAGGACTCCTCCGAACTCCCCTCCAGTCACATCTCCGCCAGGGAGGGCCTCTCAGCCAGGGCCCCTGACATGCTCCATCTCCCTCAACATGTCCTCCCAACTGCAGACTTGTTTCAAAGCCTTTTCAGTCCTTGGTGTCACGGTTGAAGCATCCATAAGCCCACTGAATCGAAGTGAACCCCCATCACACAACACGGGTCACTTTGGACTTCCATCCAAAGCTTGGCAACTGAGTGAACTTTTCAATACCTTCCAGGAAAAGACGTGTTTAAAGTGTTTTTTTATTTGGAAGGAATTATTACATTAATGAGACAATCAGCTCCTTCATCCTGACAACGGTGAATAAGAGGTCTGCGCATCCTGTGGTGCTTTTTCCAGATTCCAGTGAGGTAACCCAAAACCAGATCACTTAAAAAAGAGTGTTCACTCTGTGGCCTCGGCACTCAGGTGGCTGGGGCAGGAGAACCACTTGGCCAGCCAGAAGGGTCAAATCCTGTCTTGAAGTTGAAAAGAGGAAAGGGGATACAGAGAGAGAGAGACAGAGAGACAGAGACAGAGAGAGAGAAAGAAAAAGAGACAGAGTCAGAGAGAGAGAGAGACAGAGACAGAGAGAGAAAGAGACAGAGACAGAGAAAGAGAGAGACAGAGAGAGACAGAGACAGAGAGACAGACAGACAGAGCCAGGGACTGCATGCATTACCAGGTAATTTCCTCCCATGCATTACTGGGTGATTTCCTCCCCCTGGCATCTTATTCGGACTACTTACTATAAGGTTCACTCGTGTTTTCTGGGTGTGCACTGGGAACTGGAGACACTCTCTACCCTGAACCCCACTTCTACCCCAGAGCATGTGGGAGCACCTGGTCTTCCAGATTTTCTGCAGGTGACCCACACATGCACCACCAGTTAGAGCGTGAAGCTGTAGGACACTGCTTGGGACTGGTTGGCTCAGGCACCGTAGGTGACCTCACTTCCTAGAAAGCTGGTGTGAGAAGCCTCATCTTCAGCAGCCTCTGCTTCAGCAGCCGCCCTGAATCTGGCCTGGCCACACACCAGGCGATGACACTGTAGGGGTTATGGTCGTCCTAACTACCCCTGGCTACTATTCTTGGAGAGCAGCCTTGGCCCCACCCTAACCCACGTGGTGGTAAGGGATAGGTAAGGGGTAGGTGGGTGGAGATGTGGTCTTTGGTCCTGTCCCATCATAACCCAGTATTCAAGGACTCAGAGGCAGGAACAATGCCACACTGGAGGGATCAGAGTTAAGGCAAAAGCAGTGAGACCCTTGGGAGGCTACATCTTTCACTCACTAGCTGAAGAGTGAGCTGAAACCGTCTCTATGGCCCCCACCGGTTGTCCTGGGCCCCAGGCTGTGGCTCCCCTGCAGTGAGTATCATCTGGTCATCAGAAAAGGGGCACCTAGGAAGTCGGGGTGAGGATGGGAAGGAGCCGGCTCCAACACCAGGCCTTGTGTCTGCATCAGGCTGGCAAGTGGAGACCTTGCTGGGGAGGAACAGGGCTCAAGTCTCCTCCTTGTAGCCAAGCAGGCGTGCACTACCAGGGTAGGTGGCTCCGCAGTCCAGCAGCAGCCGCATGGTGGGTCTCCTGTTCACGGTAGGTGGGGAGGTTCCAGCACCAGCAACCCGGTCACTGTCATTCCCTCCTGCAGGTGACACACCAGGGAGGTCAGTCGGCCTGGGGCGCCCTGAACTCCGGCATGCTCCAGGTGCGTGGTGGGGGTGGCGCATCGCGCTCCACGTCCTCCGAGATGGTCCGGATGTCACTGGCGAAGGGCGCGATGCGTGCACGGGCCTTGAAGGACGACAGGCTGCCGCGGGGTCTCAAACTCCACTGGCGGGTCAGTTTATGGGCTTCCTCTTCCTGCTTCGTCTTCTCCAGGGCCTCCTGCAGCACGGAGCGGAAGAGCCGCGCCACCTCCTGCACCTCGGGCTCCCGCTCCGCCAGCAGCTGTCTGAACCTGCAGGGGACACGAAGGACGCGCTGTGCTGAGCTGAGCATGCCACCTCCGCTTTACTCTTGTCCCAGTCAATCCTGAGCTCAAATCCCAGCTCTGTTCACCTCTGAGCCTCAATTGCCCCATCTGTAAAAGGCAGCGCCTGCCTTTTTGCAAGGTTCGTGCTCATATGCAAGGAGCCTGACGCCAGCTTATAAATCCGACGTGGGCAGAGTCCTCAGAGGTACGCGCTAAGACGGGCAGCCCGACTAAGTGAGTCTTTCGGTGCCCCACCTGCCCTGCTGATTGCTCTGAAATGCATGTCTGGTGACGTCACTGTGTAATCAGAGTCCCATCTCCCCCGGCCCCGCATCTCTTCAGGATGATGCACACACTGCCCCTTCTCCTTCCCAGGAAGAGCAGGAAGGACAGACAATTGTGCCTCCTTGCTCCTTGTGTGTCTCCCAAGCTGTTTCCTCTGCCTAGAAGATTTCTCCGTGGAGCTCAAGAATCATCCACTAGATCCTTGCCTTCCTCCAGCCTGTAGAGGACCAGCACTGGTCAGGAAGACCAGTGACAGCTCCGGAGCCCCCTCACTGTGGGTCTGAACGGCCAGAGCACTTGCGGTGGCCCTCTCTGGATCTCAGCCCCACATTCCTTTCCGAAGTAAACAACAGAATCAGGAAAATGGGAAATGGCAATCTGCAGGGAAGTCAGCCAGCGAGAAGACCACAAAAGCCAAAGGGGGGAGGTGGGGGGGAAGCCCTCGTTTGTAGGGGGATTCCAGACAGAAAGCACAGAATGGGGGGGGTGATTGCGAGAGTCGGGGCTAACGTGTTTAGTTGTAGATTTGTCCTTTACAAAGAGAAATGCAGACAAGGAACCTCTGCTCTTTTGGGATCATTCCGGGTTTTGGATGGACTTCACCAGGTCAGTGGGGGCAGAGGTAGGTGGGCCACACCTTCGGGGAGGTGGTTTAAGGTCTGGACAGGGCTGTGCCTAAGCTTCACACACTTGGTGCCCCGTGTTCCCTCTCCCCCTACACACGCTCACGCCTCGGGCTGGCCAGTGATCGAAACACAATAATTAAGGCACAGTTTTGGAGAGGTTGCCTGGGAAAGACCCTACAGAAGCGATACTGACGCTGAAGCAGCGGGATTGCTGTGAATCTGAGGCGGGGTGAGGCTACCTACTGGGTTCTGGGCTAGCCTGGGCTAAAGGGCGGGGGGGGGGGGGAGAAGAGGAAGAGACTCAGCAGGAGAAGTAGCAAGCATTGAAGATAAATAGACAACAAAGGAAGCCTTGTTGACAAGCAAGTTCCTGACCACCCGGGGAAGGAAGAAGAGAACTTACCCATGGCAGCCTGGGGGCCTCCAGGATCAGCTGCCAGCCCCAGATGAAGCCCCGCCCCAGGTCTAGTATGCCTTTGAGTTACTTTTCCTACCCCCCTAACTTATATCTGGGCCACTCCTACCCTCTGATCCCAATGGCCTGGAGCTACTGCAACTGCAGTGACCCTCTCTGGAACCAGTAAGGTCCCCAGCCCAACGCCGGGGTTACCTGAGGATGGCAGGCCCACAGTAGGATGGGTGGATCTTGGCACATACATCCTCCAACTGCAGCCTCTCACCAGGGCTGAGGTCATAGGAAGGCCTGGGCGCGCTGGCCAGCCAGCTGTAGTCCACTCCCGTGCAGATCTTCCTGACGGCTCTTCGACGCTCCCTCTGCTGCCTCTCCACCTCTCGAATCTGCCCAGCCAGCTCCATCATGAGTGTCTCCAGCACCATCTCAGCTGGGCTCCGGGATGACAGCCGGGGTGGGGTGTCACTCCACCGGAGCCACGGGATGAGGGACATGGTCCCCCAGGCCCTGCTGACACAGAGAAGTGGGTGGGTCTTCCCTGTGCCCCTTGTCAGCTAGGGGAGAACCCAGGAGAACAAGAGAGAGGAGAGTTGGGCCCCCAAACATCTGCCCCCACCCCCACCCTTACGGCTGTGTGGCCTCATGTAGGTCACAACCTCTCTGAGCAAAATTCCTCGTTATGGAGAACAAGATAGGCCATCTGAGAAGCAGTTGTGATCTATAAGCTCGGTTCACAGTAAACATTACAAAGAGATAATGTATGTAGCCATGGTGATAAGAGTCCTGAGAGCATTCTCATGACTGAACCCAGAGAAACTGCTCCCCAAACCTCACTAACCCTAAACAAAACAGGAAGCAGACCGTGTACAGCTGAGCACAGTCATATCCCCACAATCCATGGGGGAAAGCACACACACAGCACACACAGCATACATAACACACACACACACACACACGCATGCACACCACACACAGCACACACAACATACATAACATAACACACATACAGCCGAGCAAATCATATCCCCATGACCCCTAGGGGAAAGCATACACTACACCACATAAAAACACACATACACACACAGCACACATATACAACACATACACGCGTGCGCGCACACTGCACACAAACAACACGCACCACATAGAGCACACATGCACATACGCGCACATTACAACACAGCACACACGGTACACATGCACACACATACCCTCAGACACTTGCAGTCTAAGGATGGTTCACTTAGAAATGTGTGGGTTGACGTTACCCTGATAAAACTGAGCTCACCGCCACCACCTGTTCATAATTCGCTAATGCAGTCAGCACCAGCCATTCGGTGGAGGGACACCGCACAAAAGTGTGCGGGGACCCTGCTCTCCATGAGACACGAGACCGACATCGCATGACTAGGGAAGAGCACACTCGGTCTCCATGTGGGGCATGAGGTCTGATGATGAAGGGGGTTGGAGAAGGGACTGTGGGTGAGCAGGGTAAGAGCGGGGGTGGGGGGGCGGCAGACGTCGGACACAAGGCCTGATATGAGATGGTAGCCTGGGTGGAAGACCAAGCCATGGTCCAGGGCGTACAGGAGGCTGCCTGAGCAGGACATGGGTGAAAACCAACTCCAGATTGACCAGACTACAGTGTAAGACGAGAAATGCTATCGCCGTTAGAGGAAGGAGGAGGGGAACACTTCAGACACCAGTGGAAGCGAGGGCTTTCTCAATAGGACTGTAGTTATCCAGGAAACAAGGCCAACAGTTGACCAAGGGAACCCAACACACCAAAGAAAAGCTGACTGAGGGGAGGAGCCTAGGATAGGCGAAAACATTTGGCTTGACGGATACACACACACCACATAGAATTAGTATCTAAAACACGCAAATAATTAAATAATAAGCAAGAAATCAAGGGACAGAGTCAAGAACTGGGCTGATGAAATGGCAGTTCTCAAAAGACGAAATACCAGCCGGGTGGTGGTGGCGCACACTTTTAACCCCAGCACGGGGAGGCAGAGGCAGGCGGATTTCTGTGGGTTGGAGTCCAGCCTGGTCTGAAAAGTGAGCTCCAAGGCAGAGAAACCCTGTCTCAAAAAGAAGAAGAAGAAGAAGAAAAAAAAAAGATGAAATACAAATGGCCATGAACACAGGGAAGTGATCAATCTCATTGAAGCGTGGCCTCCTCCTCAGCCCCTCTCTCCTGGAGACCTGAACTGGCCTGTAGAGGCCGATGTTTTTCAGGGGCTAAGGCTGGGTGGGCTCCTGACCCCGTGCTCGGTGAACCCTAAACTTGTGGGGCCCGGCTTGGGGTGGTCTCACTGGAAAGGAGAGGACGGTCTCAACTTTCTTCTCCCCACCCGCATGCTCTTCAACACTGGCCCTGATCCAGCAGCAGCAAGATTCCCGCTGCAGCTATTTCTGTCCCGGGTGCCAGCTGCCAGCCGAGCTCTAGGGGCAAGCAGCCCAATTAAGTTCTTAAGGCCCCAGGATGGGGAGGGAGGCTGGGGGAGGGGAGGACAGTCTCTAGACAGCTGCCAGCCAGGCAGACTCCAGGACGAGCCAGGCTGTGTGTGACCTGCCCTGGGAGATTTGGCTCCTCACTGCCCCCTCTGTAGCCCCTGCTCCCCCAGGAACAGAACTCCTGGGCAAGCTAGCAAGGCTCCTCACACTCCAGCCCACCACTGGAGCCTGTGACAGGGCCTTAGTGACCTCAGGATCTGTCATGGAGGCCTGACCTCGTTGACAGTCCCAGATAGCAGTGTGGACATTAGGAGTGACTGCTGGTTTCCTTGGGTGTGAAGCAGCCCTGGGGTCTAGGGCAGTGTTAGGAGACCGTGCTGAGTGTTTGTGGATGAGGGCAGTCCTCCATTCCAACCATTTAGGCAAACAACACGCATGCGTGTTTACACACACAAATGTGTGACTCTTACATATAGCAAAAATGATTGTTTTACTATCTGAGGATTTTTGTTTGTTTGGTTGGTTGGTTTTGGTTTGGTTTTTGGTGTCCATTATACTTTTTTACCAGCTTCCCTGCATGTCAGCACACGAGGCTGTGGAATTCTCCACCAGCAGGCACAGGCAGTGTGCTGGGATGCCGTAAGGTCAGCAGACCCCAGAGCCTGTGCCTGCCTTCACTGCATTAGATGTGAGGCCCCCTAAAGGAGTGTGTATTTGAGAATAAGCATGCTGGATGGAGCATGCTTGGATTACAGACTTTGGAGTCTGAGGTGGGGGGGGTCTCGAAAGAGAGCCTTTATGATGCTTCTACTGAGAGGACATCCAGGAAACCCCCACTGAGAACTCACTGCCTCGTTCCCCCTGCCTTACATTCCTCATCTATGCACAGGGTTGACACACTGTGCAGCAAACTCCCCAGAGTCCAATGGCACTCAAAAGAAGGTATGGCGCAGGCCATCCCCGGGTCTGCCTTCCCTGCTACACAGCCTGGAAGTGAGCGCTGCCAAATGGCTGAGCACAGACAGAATGCTGGCCTGTGGTGACACCAAGTGGGGACAGGAGAAATGAAAGTCAGCTAAGCAGACGTGCGCGCCCTGAGTCCTGAGGCTGTCAGGGCCCCAACATTGTGGCCGTGAGAACCTTGGGGCTATGCCTCTCTCCCGTGTCTGGGAAATGGATGCTGCCCCCTGCTGACAGCTCCTCCTTCTCTCCCCGGGTCTCTTCTGCTAAGAAGTGCAGCCGCACCTCCCTTTAACCTCAGACAAGCTTGGCGGCCTGGCTGTCCCCCTTCCCTTTGGTCAACTGCTGTCTCTTGTGAGGCAGGCTGAAGCTGGGGAGAGAGTGTCAGCCGTACCTGACACATCTAGCCTAAGTCCCGATCTCCGGACTCAGTTTTCCCATCTGTAAGAGGGGCCATGAGGGTGCTTGCCTCGGGCTCCCCTGTAAGATCAGAGAACCCTGATAAGAGCAGAGAATCTGTAAAATCAGAGAACCCTGATAAGAGCTTTCACGTCAGAAAGCTGGTGCCCCTGTGACTGCCGCCAGCCCTTAGTGCAGGGGCTCTTCCCTGGGGTCCTAGGAGAGCCAAGTTTATGAACTTGGAAAAACCTTGTTTCTACCTTTAGTTTAAAATGTAACGTTTCTGGGCTGGAAAGGTGGCTCTGCAGTTAAGAGCACCGGCTGCTCTTGAAGAGGCCAGTGCCCTCATGGTACTTCACAACTCCTGGGTATCTGATGCCCCACTTCTGATTTCTGTGGGCACCAGCCACACGTGTGCTGCATGCACACATATGTGGGCAAAAGCATTCATACACATGAAATAAATAAACATAAAATACTTTACCGTAGCATCTCCTCCAGGTGGGAGTGGTCACCACATAACCCCAGAGCATCCATGACACCTGGGACTTTACCTCCAGCCAAGACCATAAATGTGGTCCTGACCCTTCACAGTGAAATACTGTGTGTTCGCCATTACTCTGAAACACGGCGTTTATTAGGGATGTCATTAGATTGTATACTCTTACCTATTTCTAGGAGCGCACAGATATCACTTTGTCAAAAGTTGTTTTATGCACATTTTAACGGCTGCGTTTCTACAGAGCTGGTTTTTCTCTCATTTGGCCTTGGTGATGTTTCATCTAGAGACACCTTAGAAAATGCTTTCCCAGTGACCACCAGAGGTCTGTAGAACAGAAAAGAAAGCCTATCCTCCCCCTCTTCCCCACCCCCATTCTCCCACCCCCCCACCCCCCACCCCCCCACCCCCGCCCCACCACCCGCTTGGTGCCCTGTGATCTGGTGGCTGCCTGGGGAGAGCTGAGAGCCTCTATCTTCCAAGAGAAACTGATTGTAGGCGCCTGGGGCTGGTCCACACAAAAGCCGCCATTCCTACCGCTGCCCCTAGGTGTCACTCTCCTCTCACCTCCTGAGCCTCCCGTTCATTACAAGGCCACCTCTGCTCATACTCTGAGCCTCTCCTCCCACCGTTTCTGGACATCCCTGAGGACAGCGACTTTTCATCTTAGAAACACTCCAAGCCTGCCCTGAATCCCGAGGGAAGAGGAGTCTGGTCCTAGACCATTAGAAGGGACCACTATGCTCACCGGTGCCACATAGGGAAGGTGATGCTGTCCTTGATCTAAAGAACTCTGATTGGTCCAGAGGGAGCCACACCCAGACCAGCAACTATTACTATCCCCTTGTGTAGCTGGGATCCCACAGCTCAGCTGAGTATCTGCAGGCCCTGGAGCCTAAGGGCACCTGACCCAGGCTGTCCCAGAGCACGGGTTACCTCCTATAGCAACTGCGTCCACAGAGGCCAGACCCTGGGTCCTAGCAGAGGCCAAGCGAGCGTATATAACTTCCGTCTCTCACTAATTCTCTCCCTGGCTGTTTTTCAGAAACCCAAGGTCAGCTTCACCAGCTACAAGTTAGCCTTGTTTCTTTTCGGCATTAGAAAAATTATCTATAATCTATGGAGACAGGTGCGAATGGTCCTGACCTGTGGGTCTTTCACATACCTGGCAAAGACCTATTCATCTCCCAAGCCCTCCTCTAAGGGTCCATCTCTTCCTGTAGCCTGTCTGTCACTGCTCTCCACCAAGATAGCATGGATCTCAGTGACCATGGGACCCATCATCCCAGGCATCTGTAATGATGGATGGACGCAAGCATGGGCAGCTGGGTATGTGAATGGATGGGTAGGTGAGTGGGTGGATGGATGCATACGTACACATGTGGATGGATGGGTCCACAAATGGATGGATGGATGGATGGATGGATGGATGGATGGATGGATACATGTACATGTATATGGAAGGGTCCATAGATGGACGGATGGCAAACGGATCAATGGATGAATGAGTCTCAGTCATTTTCTTCCTACTGAGGCAGAGGTGCAAGTACTCAGGTCTGGCTATGGTAGACAATCTCCAAGAAACCCCCTTCATCCCAATGTTACCTCTTGGATCCTCCCCATCTTCACCCAAGTCTCCTTGCCGGTGCCTTATTGGGACCTCATAGACTGTTCCATTGTGGAGGGGAACACACATTCCCTGGTCCCTGCTGTATGCCTAGACTTGACTCTGTCCCTTAGAGGTGCCAAAGTTGCATTTCTCAGATGGATGACACCCTCTGATTTGAGGTTTGCTTACGCACACACACAAACACACACACACACACACACACACACACACACACACGCACACACACACACACACACACACACACACACACACACACACCCCTGTGTCCTCTGTGTAGCCCTAGAGGGAGTACCGAGGCCGGTTTCTCTCCGAGGCTTGCTCAGCCCGAAGTAGACAACAGCACTGGCTCCCCCCAAATTCATGAAGAAAGAACTAGGCTAGCTAACCCCCTTCCCCCAGGATCCTGCCTGAGTCTGCTCATCTTTGACCAGTGAGGGCTGATGGGGCTTCCCATGGTCACCTGGGTCCTGGGTCCAGCCTACTTTCTGGTTCCCAGATGGCCAGGGAGCCCCCCCCAAGCTCATAACCAAGTGTAGCTGACCCCTAAGGGCATAGCTGTTCACTATGAGGGCAGGGACCTGCCACTTCTGGGGAGACCCCTCCCTCCCTTACCTGAGATTCACCTCCGCCCAGGAAAATGTCACCGAAGGGGTCCTTGCTTTCTGTTTCCCAGTCTAGGAGAAGAGAGCCTTGATCTTTTTTTTAGGCAAAGTAGGAAGTTGAGCAGTTGCACACAGGCAGAGGCAGAAGGGGGCACACCATCCTCACAGACTGCCTCCTCCTCTTCCAGTGCCGGCTGCCTCCTATGGTCTCTGCTTCTCCCGGCTGAGAAGTTTTACCAGAGGCGCCAGCTGGAGGAGGGCCCCAGCTGGGCTGGTGTTTGTGGAGTGTGTATGTCCCCAGAGCTGGAGGCACAACTCCCTGCAGAACCTGGAGGCAGGCCAGCCACGGTTGCCATGGAGACCCACCTAAGCCTCTTGGCCTGCAGCAGCATTAGCTGGTGAGGGAGGGCTGACCTGACACAGATGCCAAGAAGACCAGGCCGGGAGAGAGCTTATTCCCAGAAGGCATCCGAACCCCTTCCTTCCCGGCACCGCCCAGTTAGGTGCCTCCGACCTCACCAGACTTCTGGCGTACCTACTAGCGGCAGATGTTTCTAGCTGCCTGGTGGGTGGCTCCCGAATGCAGACGCACTCTTCCTTCCAAGGGGACATTGTTCTGGGCATCAGGGGTCCATGGTGACTTGTCCAGACACAGGCAGGCCCAGGGAGAAGAGAGGAAAACGGGTCCTGGGGAGTCCGGGTTACATCAGAGGCTGACACGGGCTTCCTGCTGCCACCTTCACCCCACTCACCAAGAGGCCCCGGCCCCTTCTACTCCCTGCCCGCACTGTATAAACCCTGGGGATGCTGAGTCAGCACCAGGAAGGGCGTGGCTGTGGACACGTCTCATTCAGTTGTGCTCAAATGTAGCAGAAAGCACAGCCACGGAGGCCTTAAGGCAGGCCAGACTACTCAGACTGGAACCGCCCTCCTGCCGGTGAGGTTTTCGGTTGGGAGAGGCATCAGGGAGGTCTGTTTTCTGGAGCTGGGCCTCAAGGTCAAACATCTCTCTTGGCAAGCTCACATCCTGACGGTCCTAACAAGTGAAAGGAAGGGTGGGTTAGAGACCTCCTCCACCGTTCCCAGGTGGCCTCCACCCAAGGCCAGCTAAGGCCAGAATAACCCTAGGCAAGTGCCAGGACAAGAGTGACCAACTGAGGGCACCCTTCCCCTGGGTCAGATGGGTGCCTTGCTATGGGGCCAGGGTCAGGGCTGGGCACAGTTCTCTCTGGGAGCCTTTCCATGTCCTTGCAGAAGATACAGCAGCCAGAACTCCCATCCCAAACACACGACCGACGTCTCTGCCCGGCGAGCCCCTTCCATGTCCCCTCCACAAAAGTCTACTCGTGCTTTGCGCCAGCCCCAGGGCCCCGGCCAGCGATGAAGACAGAGAAAGCAGAGAAGCCACCTTACACACCCAGGGCCCCCAGCGGGTGGGCAGGTGTCTGCAGAGATCCAGAGACACCTTGAAGAGGAACCCTACCCGGTGGGTCCCACCTCCTCTCCACAACTCCTGTTCCCTTGTCCCTGGGCTGCAGTCCTGAGCATCCCCAAGCACAGAACAGGGAAGATCCTTTCCTTCCACACCTGCAGAAGTCATGGTGTCAGAAGGACCGGGAACTTCCTCAAACAGCAAGCAAGCCAGAACCACACTCCAGCCCACTGCACCTCTGTGGCCTCAGCAAGTCCCAGAGCTCCTGGGTCCAACAGGGCACCCAGCGTCAGTGACGGCACTGAACACATTCCCCGTTCTCTGGCGGAGAGAAGAAGCAGGCTGTTGTCCATGTCTGCGTGCTGTCGGGCCGTGGCCCTGTGTCTGTGTACAGTGTGGGCACCCTTGTTACATATCCTTCTGAGTCCCAAAGGCTGCTCAAGAGAAGAGGCATGCCCACAGACCTCAAAATACTAGAAGATCTTGCCGGGGTGAATGGGGAGTAGAATGGAGCTGTGACGTGCCGCTGTGCACTGAAATTAGGGACTTGCCCTCTGTGGAATCCAGTGGTTGCTAAAAACTCTCCAGATGGCAGTGGCAGAGTCTCCAAGGCTGTGTTTTGTGTTTTGATCTGCTTTGTTTTAAACCGGTGCACTTGGCCCTCTCCCAGAAGGTAAACCAACAGCACCGTAACTTCCTTGACATCACCCACCACATGCAGAAAAAAAGAGCAGGGTTGCCCAAGCAACCGCAGGAAAAGCAGAGGGCTGCAGCCCCGGCGTCCAGGTACCAATTAGACATCTGGGGTCAGAGGCCTCTTTTGGTTCTTCATAGGAACTAAGTGGCTTGTGAAAGTTTCCCAGACACGGGGACTCACAAAGTAAGGACTGGAAACAGGAATTACAAGACGAAGCTTGGGGCTGTGGTCTAACACAGATCAGAAGCAAACTGTCTGGTGATGGAGGAGCTGCTTCAAAATTACAGACGTGCCAACATCTCCTACTATGGGCCCAAAGACGACCATGATGACACAGCACATCTCTAGCGTTGCCTTGGGGAAAGCCACAGTGGACGGCACACCAGGCCAGGAGTGAGTCTCAAGCCCCGTCTCAGTGTCTGGGGTGGCAGAGAGGAACCTAAGCCACATCCTAGTCCCTCTGCCACCAGACACTGAGACCTGACTTGAGCCTCACTTGTGCCTGAGACACAGTCAGGAGCTCAGGTCTTATTCCAGGCAAAGGTATGCGTGCATCTGACGGTATAATAGAGAGAGTTCATTGTTGATCTAGCTCAGCTGTTCTCAACCTGTGGGTCATGACCCCTTTGACAAACCTATCTCCAAAAAATATTTGTGATTCATAACAGTAGCAACATTACGGTTATGAAATAGCAACGAAAATAATTTTGTAGTCAGGGGTGTTAAAGGGTCACGGCATTAGGAAGGTTGAGAGCCACAAATCTACCTGATGTCAAGTGTGCTCATTTCTTGGGAAACACCTCTTGGTGACAAATTATCTTGTGTCTATAAAAGGACATAAAAGAAAGTTTGGGGGTGCTGGAAAGATGGTCCAGAGGTTAAGAGCACTGACTGCTCTTCCAGAGGTCTTGAGTTCAGTTCCCAGCAACCACATGGTGGCTCACAACCATCTGTAGTGAGACCCGGTGTCCTCTTCTAGACTACAGGGATACATGCAGACAGAACACTGTATACACAATAAATAAATAAGTTTTTAAAGAAACGAGAAAGGAAGGAAGTTTGCATAAGAAAAATTTGCACAAAACCAAAATGAAGGAACTTGGATTCCCTGCCTTATGATGTCACCAAAGCAGCATTAAGGGGAAAGATAAAAACCCCTAATTCCTCAGGGTAGTCAAGCATCCTTACAATCTTGTTTTTGCATGGAGTTTGTATATATTTGCATATAATTTGCAGAACATTAAGCAGTTCTCAAAGCCCCGGGACTGTGGGTGGATCTGTGCCTGTAAGTCCCAGGCTGTAAAGGACACAGTTTTGGAACTCTTGTTTCCTGTCCTCTGCTGCTTTGCCTCAGAGTTCAAGGTCTTCTGTTTGCTCTCCCCGTCTCTGAGGCATCACTGAAGTTCCAGAGGCCATGGGAACGAAGAGCTAAGGGAGTGGGTCCTCCTCAGAGACCCACCTCAGGATCCAAATCTGGACTGGACACCTGTTTGCCGGGTGACCATGAAAAGATACTCTAAAGGGACTCTCATGTAACCTGACAACTGAAACAACGGACCCAACAAAATGTAGTTTTCCCCCAGGACTATCACGCTGGGGGAAGGAAAAGGCCCCAGCCTGGTCTCTGCTGGAAAGAGATCCCACCCGGCCCTCACTTGTAGTCCACCTTCCAGGAGGAGACTGAGGTTGGGGTCAGGATGGGTCAGTGGTGGGCGGGGCCACAGCTCGACCAGGACCTCTTAGCTGGCCTCTATCTAAACTCTGGCTTCACTGCAGGACACCGAAGACTGACTTGGGCGGTTCTCTGGATCCCTCTGTCTCTCTCCCCAGTGTGGCCACATTAAAAAAGTCTCCTTTTTCTGCTTCCCCTTTTAATTTGGCTCTTGTTTGTGCTTAGCTGGTGCCAGGGAGGGGCGCCCCAGGTGCCCAGGGCTGAAGCGTCGATCCTCAGCTGTGCTCCTCCTGGATACCCCAGTCCCCAGAGTCACCCAAGCTGGTAAACATGGCAACAGTTACCTGGCTTCTCTTGCCGCTCTGGTTTGGAGTTCGGCTGCTGGTGAAACCACAAATAAAAGGATCAACTCAGGTTTCTCCCACAGCCCTTGGTGGACTTCCCCTGCATTTCCTCTTCCCCGCCCTTGTGGACTCCTCCTGCCCAAGCCTCTGTCCGAGCAGACATTCACCTCTAGAGAACGCAGGTATCCTCTGTGGTTTTAAACACCCAGCCTCCGCCTTGCAAGGGCAGCGGTTCTCACAATTGTGTATAAGCTTCGACCCTTCCACGCAGCTCCTCATGCTGTGGTGACGCCACAGCCATAAAATCATTTCCATTGCTACTTCACAACTGTAACTCAGCTATCTTTCTGAATCATAATGTAGACACCCGTGTTTTCCCATAGTCTTAGGAGAGCCTGCGAAAGGGCCATTTGACCCCCCCAAAGGGATCACACCCCACAGGTTGAAAACCGCTGGTCTAGGGTGTCTCTAAAGACGTTGACCACAGGGTCACACTTGTGCACAAGTAGAGGCGGAGTCAGCTAAATGGAGGCTGATCCAACCTCCACGTCATGTCTGAATCCTTCATGGGTGCCGCAAAACTTGCCTCATGGGGAGTTAGTTTGTGTTTGACTTAATGCAGCTAACTCCATGTGTTGCTCAGGCGCCTGCAGAAACTTGAGATTATCATTGAATGTGTTAAGTCTGTGCCAATCTGCACAATGGGTGTACCGGCCATCTCCGTTTTACACATGGAAGAACACAGCCATGAGTTAAACAACCAACCCGGGGCTCCCAAGAAGCAAGTGGTCATCTAAACCGTTATTCAAAGCAAGGCAGTCGGGCGCTGCAGTTGCCCCTGGGGGCGGTTACATAGTGCTGCTGCTCTGGGCTTCCTTCTTTTGATTGATCCAAGTCCATGAATCCTGTCAGACCAACTGGTGCAGCTGACACCAGAGCACCAAGGTACAGGTCACAAGAAATAATGGATCACTCCCCAGCCCCCGCCACCTGAGGCTGCAGAGAGCAAAATTATCTGTTTGCTCATTTTGAACACTTCTCAAGCTCATACTAGATGCATAAAGACATGCAGGTACTTTTCTATATGGTTATCTTTTTTACTATTTCTTTTCTGTTCTTGTTGTTAAAAACAGTATCTTGGGGGCTTTGGAGACGGCTCGGTAGTTAAGAGCCCTGGCTGCCCTTAAAGAGGACAGGGGTCAGTTGCCAGCCCCACACGGTGCCTCTCAGCCACCTGTAACTCCAGTTCCAGGGGATCGGATACCTTCTTCTGCCATCTGCAGCACCGGGCAAATGTGTTTCGCACAGACACAAATGTCAGTTGTGTAACAGGTTGGAACCCCACACAGCGGCAAAATAATCCACGGTGGCAGGAGATCTTGGAAGCAATCGTTTTTGTTCTGGGACAGATGCAGTTATCCCTAAGGCAGTGGGACCAAATGTGTGAGAATCTGCCCCTTGGAAGCGGGACTCACCGTGAGTCTGCAATCACCCATCTCCCACGAAAACTTCTGTGACGCCGTTCTGGAACAAAGGACACCAGCACCTTGCAAAGCCCTTCGCCTGTCCAACCAGTTGTTACAGACCAAAGGCACTCCTCTTTGTCTGCAGCCAGAGAGCAGGGCGGGGGTGGGCGTCCCTTGCCGAACTCTGGACTGGCCTATAAATGAAAGCCCACACCATGCCTGGGCATGGTGGCCCACGCCTGCAATCCCAGCGCCAGGGAGGCAGGGTCAGGAGGATTAGGAGTTTAAGGCCAATCTAAGCTACCCGAGACTCTCTCAAAACAAAACAGAATTATCTAACACCCCACCCCAGGGCCCCAGGGCTGTGGCTTGTGAGGGGCATGAAGGGGTCCCCCATGAATGAAGGTCTGCATGAACCAGCCTTCTGGGAAGACGACTGAGCCCCTGCTGACTTTCAGCCCTGGCTTCAGCCATGCCTCAGACACGATGAATCGCACTAGCTACTGCCCCATCCACGAGCTGTCCTGTTTCAGGCCCTTCGCATCCTAGACGGAATTTGCTGCAGATGGTCTTTTTAATTACAGTCGTGTCATCCATGCATGGTGATGGTGGTCTCAAAGCGTGGCTTTCAGGGGCTCTCCTGAACTGCATCCGTGTCTTCCCGTGCTCACCCCATCCGTGTCTTCCCGTGCTCTCCCCATCCATTCGTCTTTAGCAGCTAGTACTTCTGATCCTTGTTTCCATGTGGGTTGGTTGTTTAAGCAGTGTTGAGAACATGCATGTACTTTCTGAAACCCTGCGCCCTCTGCTCATGAGTTTGTGCGGAATTTGCCTTGTGGATGCTCGCGTTTCTCCTAGACTGACAGTTGTCAGAACTCGTGTGGGTGTCTATGATCCATTTATAAGACTCGTCCCAAGCCAGGCCCAGTCATAGGTCCTCGGTAAGCCAATTACAAGAGCCATACTAAAAGTAGAAAGCAGGAAAGGGCGATTTATTCAATGTGGCCACCTGGGAAAAGGGACAAAGAGACCCAGTGAACCCCCCAGGTCTGTCCTCAGGGTCCTGAATCAAGACAGAACTTTAAATAGAGGCCAAGGATATGCACATCTTAGCATCCTGGTCAAGGCGTGTCCCTGCCGAGCACTGGCCCGTGCTTGTCTGGGCTTCAGTCTCATCCTATAAGCTGGGCTGACGAGTTAGAACCGTATGGAATCTCTTTCTGGAGGAGATGCCTTTGCCTGACATCTGTTCTTTTCCCAGTATGAGATTCCTGGGGAATTCCTGTTTTGGGTGGAGGCTCTGTTGTTTCAGTAATCTGATAGAGTGAGGGACACAGCGTCTGTCCCTTAGAGTATCTTCATTTCTGTCAGGCCTGTAACATTTCTAGCTTACAGTCCTGTGTGTCAGGGAAGCTCGCTGGTAAAGACAAGAGTTGC